CCAGCAGAGAGGCTGCCAGCCCACATGCTGGCTCCAAGCTGCTGAGGAAGAGAGCATGCAGAACCGCTGAAAGGCTGGGTCCCGTCTCTTTGCAGGACAATGGGCATTGGGGGTGTCAATGTCCCACTGGAAGAGAAATCGAGGGATGCACAGGTGGCCTCCTACACGGGGATCTACGACACAGAAGGGGTGCCCCATACCAAGAGCGGGGAGAGACAGCCCATCCAGGTCAACATGCAGGTACGTGGTTCTCCAAGCCTGGCACGGGAAGGCAAAGGAGGGCAGCGGGGGGTTGACTTCTAGAGGGAGAGTTGTGGAAGTGAAATATTCTAGAGCAAAGTCTGATCACAGCTGCTGCCCTCCTCTCTGTCATTTTCTTTTTTTGGGAGGGTCGGTGGTGTTTCTTTTTGGTAAGATTGCTGGTCAGAGTGTAGCTGAAAACACAAGCCCCGCTTCCCAAAGGGAAGCCAAAAGAGCAGCAAGAGCCAGGGAGTAGTAGGGGGATTTCTAGAGACCTGCAAAGCCCTTTAGGGTGCTGCAGCAGAAAGAAATGTGAGCTGAACCTCTCACCTCTTCTAAAGGACGTATTACAGACTTCAGGCAAGTCCCACCAAGGTCCCTGGCTAAGAATCCAGTCCCAAGCCCTTGGCATACAGGGACCCTCATTTTGCCTGCTAGCACTGCCAGGTTTTTTGAAGTAGGGCATGCCCCAAGCACAAGGGGTGACTACTCTGCCCTTCTGACTGTCATCTGCAGGGTGCCTGAGGGCCTGCCAGAGGCTGAAAGCATGGGTGAGAACACCCCCTACTACACACACACACACCCCACAAAGGCTGTCTTCTCCCTTTCCTCCCCTTCCCCGTATGGTTTCATTATCACACTATCTCTGCATTCACAGACCTAAGTTTTTATTCAAGTGGTTCCTCACTCCAACCTTAAGGGGAAGCCTCAAGGGCTGGAATTGGTATATGCCACAGCCCGAAAGAGGGATGAAAAAAAGCTCCAGCCCATAAGACAGCAGGCAGATTCCCACAGCACTCTTTGGGAGCAAAGGGAGATCTGTTTTGTTCTGGATTTTGTTTGGTTGTTTGCAGTTTTTTCCTTCTCCTGATTACAGTTTTGAGAAAAAAAATTCCTGCTGTTTATTCCATGCCTCCTGTACCCACACGGGGCAGTAAGCCATCTTCAGCTGAAGCTCACTTACGGGTCTGTTCCAACTTCTACACATTTAGGACCTTGCTAAACCCATCGAATTTCAGCTTTTTCTCATGTTTGCTCACTGCACACAAAATTTCATCTTGATCTTCACTGTTTTTTCTGGAATCATCCCATAGCATGGCAATCCTGAGTAAGAACTGTAACATCTGCATTTGGAGTTTCTAATAATTACAGCATGTGTAAGTTAATTCTGCAGGACCCACATGACATTAACAGTTAAAATTTTATAATCGTAGCTTAATAAGACTACCTTGAAGCCTCCGTCCACATTAATTATACTTCTATAGAGTCACCTCCTTTTAACACCCAGGAAAACCAAACACCAGCTATGACTTCTCAAACAGCGGAGCAGGGCTGCTGGGTGCCACTCTTAATTATTGCAGTTTTATTTCACAATGTCCTTACACCAGGAGGTGAAAGGGCAGCAGTCATAAAAAATGAGCTGATTTGACTAAGGCATCCTTATTTTGATAGCCACCTGTAGTGCAGCATTGATGTGAACTCTGAAAATCTGGAAGCTTAACTTTTCTTATGGAGAAAATCAAGTCAAATCACAAATGAAGTTAATTCCAAGAAATGCAAGAAGGGTCTGATTTTCAGATACAAGCTCTGAGATGGTTTGTTGCAGCATCAGGAGGAGTAGCCACATTATCTGTTCAAACAGTTGCTTTTACAAATCAAGTCCTGGGATATTAACCATGAGCTAACAGGATTTTCAAGCATTAAGTAGGTCCTCAGCTCCTATTACTATCTGATCTTGAATGATAGGTTCTTCAGTACAGACTTAGATGTTCACAATTGATACTTTTAAGTATTAAATATAGGCAACTCCGCAGGGATTTACATGTTTAACCCATCATTTAGCTACTTAGCTAGGCAGAGCCGTAACAGATTTAGGCAACGAGCCTCTGATACACCGGTCTGAAAACTGCTTCTAATACCTATTTCCTCACTCTTCAAAAGTCAGCTCACTGCACACAGCTTTAAATTTTCCTACTTCCTTCAACTGTGAGGAACTTCTGCCTTCACTTCCTTTTCTAGAACAGGCAAGATCTCAGCACATCTTAGGGAGATAAGGACACTATTTAAGGCATAAAACATGAACTCACATTAGATTGTGAGGTCAGTCCTGCAGTTCAAATGTGGTCTGACACTGCCAATCTAATGCCTGAAAGGCAGAAGGTCCATAAAAGTCCATGAGATTTTATTTCCCACCTGCTTTAAATCTTTAAACAAATAATTCTCTGTGCTCCTATGTTACATGGCAAGTAGACATCTGGCCTGTTATAGCCATAGTTTATACATGTAAAAAAACCAATCCTGTTTCTGAATTTCTGTTTCTGTTACCTGAATGCTCAATTACACATACTTTCCAGAAATTGCTAGGCTGTCTAGCAAATAGTGTGAACTAAGTTAGAAACCTCTCTTCAGGTCTCATTTTACTCTTGGTCAGACTAGACTAGGGTTGAATAAAGAAGCTAGACCTCTATTTCCCTTAATAACTAACCACCAAATCATCGTAGCATGCAAATTCAGAAGGAGTGATTAAATAACTCTTCACTTCTATAGCACTGGATGACAGAATAGCAGACAGGGAAATAGGCTTCTCAGCCTGACCTACAAAGAGGAGGGCCATCCCTCCTCGCTGGGCAAGGCCGTACACAGACACGGTGGTGGAGCCAGGATTCAGCTGCAGGAGCCACACGGGAATTCAGGCAAGCTCTGAGGATGCAGAATTCTCATTACGCCACAAAGCTGCTGCATCTTCTAAGTACTGGGCTGGGCGGGGGGAGACACATGGTAGAAGAAAAGCTCCGCAATTAATTCTTTCCTCCTCCCGGAAATACACAGCAAATTGGGTCACTGGAGGAAGACAGTATTTGTTGAAATTCAGATCCCCTACACACTGATGAAATGAAATGCTGCTCTTGTATCATATCACCTCCTACAAATGCCATTAGAAATGGCCTTTTCTTCCTCAGTTTCCGCACCAAAAGTGGCTGATGCTCCTGACAATTTCATTTTGTGGATTGAGTAATAACCCATGTGCTTTATCTTTACTATCTTACTATCTCGAGTTATGACAGGTTTACTATGAGAGATGATTAATTTAAAAAAAAAAAATCCTTAATTAAGGTTTTAGTTGCTGGGAGAGATAAAAATAGCCTGTATTCTTGATTCTTTCTTTGTCAAAGGAAGTAGCAGAAATATTTCAGCTACTCCTTTAAGGTGACACTTGGAACTGAAGCCAAATAAAACCTTTCCACTAACAGCACACAGCAACTCCTGCTGTTGTCATGGCTAAATTTAAGTTACAACAGTGAAAGGTTTGAAGCAATGGCCATTCTGAAGCATCATCTTTCAAACTGTATCTTGAATTAAAAAAAAAAAAAAGTACATGTCCTTCCCAGAAAATTGGATCCAGGAGGCTCTGCTTGCAACTCAGTAAGCACCACTGTGTAAAAGGGCTTGCATACTGACTTTGCAAGTGTGATTTTAATAGGCAGATGATCAAAGGTCAGCTCCCAGGCACATGATGGGAATGGAAAACAGTCAAGTGAAGAAGCTGTCATTTAAATGAGTGATGGAAATATTTAAAAGGAAGAAACGCTGAAGAACTGCGCTGTTCAGTAGCACCAAATCCACTATCTAGTGTCTCCTAACAACATACGTATTACAATTAACAGCCATAATACTAGGACCAAAAGCCATACACAGAGGCTTCACATCCACACTGCAGATTCTCTGCAAGGTCTTAAGTCACAGGAAACCAAATTTTACATCATCATTATAATTGAAATCATAATCTACCTATGAAAGCCTCACTTATAAGGTTTTCCTGATTTTCTAAAGGTGTCTAGCACTGGCTTAAAAAAATATATATTTTATCGCACAGAAACTCAGTACAGCCGTAGTCTCATTCACTTTCAAGTTGCAAGCACAGACAACTCAGTGTCAATGTATCCCTACTTCTTTACCGTATTAGACACGTATCTGTTAAACACACTGATAAGCTCCTTCCTAATTTCCATTACTCATATCTAGGTTTGAAAAGCTGCACCATCTTGGCACAACTAGCAATTACACAAAGAACTTGTTTTGCTTACGTTTCATGTAAAATGTGGAACGGAATCCCAGGGAAAGAATAAGTGGTCTAATAGCAGTATGTCTCAGGAAGAGACTGCAAACACAAGGCTACAAAGATACAGCGATGTTAAAGATTTCAGACTGAGCAGAAGAAGAAATCTTCCCAATCCTAACTGCATCCTCTAGGTATGGGATAGAGGTGAAGTGATGGCCTGTATCAGTGCAGATTACTGCTACATGATCTATGGTATACAGAAGCCGCTTTGAGATCGTAAGGCCAGCTTCTGCTGTATCATCTTAAGAAGGATTATAGTTTCAGTTATTGTTGTCAGGAACATTTATCCACACGGGAACTTGAACATTTTTACTCCCTTGCCTTTCCCAGATGTAAGCACAAGAGGACAGTGCATGGAGAATCTGATACTTTGTGTTTTATGTATGCCTAAGCATAAAAGACGTTATGACTGCTAGAGCAGGCTTTACAGATCTTTGATTTACTGACTTGAGGAACAATAACCCTGACATCAGCTGGTTTACATTCTGCAGTTTCACAAGAGTGTTGTTTCTCTTTAAGAGAGAGAAACCAACAAAACAATCAGCTCACTAACACTGATCTTCCCTCTTCCTCGCAGTTTAACGACATTGGCGTTTTTGAAACGGTCTGGCAAGTCAAATTCTACAACTACCACAAACGGGATCATTGCCAATGGGGAAACAGTTTTGGCAGTATTGAGTACGAGTGCAAACCAAATGAAACGCGCAGTCTCATGTGGATCAATAAAGAGACCTTCCACTGAAGAGATGTGAAACCAATACTGCTGGACAATCTCCCTAAAGAAAAATTACCTTTTTAAACCAGCAAGAAGCCTTAACAAAGGCATACTACAACGTTGCTTTGTTCCATAAGGTTCCAACAACTATGTTGTATATACAGGTGGTGCCACTAAATCCTTGCCTCTTACTGTATTTTACGTTTACCATGGCATCTGCAACATTCTTTGTCTGTCACCCTGAGAATACTGAAAAGTTCATTCTGTAGTTGGGTAGAAAGCCATACCATCATAACATTGTCACAAGTATTTGGATTATTCCTGCTAAATGGTTCTACTTGATGTAACAACTTTCGTGAAGTGTTTTGCTTTGTTGCTTAGAATTTGGATGCAACATCACATCGGTGATTTCTGCATTTATATTTGTGTTTGCTCCTAAATCGGTGTGCTCCTTCAAGCATTCTGTTGTACACGTCATCCCAGTGGACAGCAAAAAGTGCAAATTATGGGTATTTGTAGGTTTAGCTAAATGGCAGCTACTGCACTGCTGACATTGTGCTTTCGTACCAGGGAATCTGGAAACTCATTCTTCCTTTTGTTAAGTGCTGTAAGACGTTCTATGACTTTTGCTCATTCACCAAATCTCTCAAAATAGGATTCTTTGTTGTTAAGTTTCCCAGTCTTTCTGAAATAGCTTTAGGAAACAGTGTAAAATGTGCTAAGCTGGATGAAGGAAAAGCAATAAATCAGCTGTGGTATCAAAGACATCTACCAACACGGCTCATATCTACTTTAAGATCATACAGCATTCGTGAAAGATAGAGCAGTCATACTTAGTTTAGCTCTTAAGAGTTCTGAGAGTAATTTCCATTTTTGCTTTACTGACACACTTCTCTAATCAGTGAAATTCTATAGATCAACTCTTTCAAGCCTGACCACTGTATTATACCAAAATCAACGGGATTTCTGACCAACAAACACTCAGTGTGAAGAGCGCAGGTCCTGGTGCGTGTTTATACAAGCATTGCACTCTTTCAAATAAAGATAAGCATGTAAACGTTTGCATGATTATGACTAGGTGCTACATAAACACTTGATCAGTGTTTAACTCGTACAGATAACAAAAATCCAACATATCTTTTCTTCCAGTAAATAAAGCAGGGAAAAAACTCCACTGTCCCTTCCTCAACCTGGGCTGAAGTAAGCTGTCGGATCTCGCGTATCTGTTATTCCCTTTGTGAATAATTTGTAAATTGTGTATGTAAATGGTACCCATGACTTTTGACCTTTGTAATAAAAGACTTAAAACAATTTCTTTTCTAGCACAGCTATCTAAATGAGTTGAAAATACCATCTCAAAAAAAGGCAGTGGTTTTAGAAAGTCCAACAGCAGAGGGTATGTAGTCTTGTGCTTTCTGAGAAATCAGTCCCAAGTATTTTTTACCCAAAGGTACTGTTTCTAGGAAATATAGATCCCATGTGGTAGAATGCAGATAGTTAAATGTGATAGCACTCAACAGAGCTTACTGATAAAATTCAACCGTAATTTTGTTGCACTACCATATTGTGGAAAGTAGAGATTTAGGACAGAAGTGAAATAACCAAAGAAGTATTTTCTTCCATCAGATCATTAATCAAAAGGCTTGTTTGCAGATTTCTACAGACTAAAGAGCCAGAGAGTAGCCCCGATGTAATACAGCACTGCACATTGAGCCAGCCTGCTGCATCTCTACTTGGAAGCAATATTACACAGGCCAGTTTCACTGCAATAAAATTCTAGAAATAATCTTCTGCATTAACTTCTTTTCTAGCATCTTCCCAGACTACTGAAAGAATTCTTCAAAATGGGAAGAAAAATAAGCAAAAATCTGTATTTCAGACAGAAGTGTTACTGGCAGCATTTTAGCAGAAATTTCCAGATAACAGGCTTCAACGACTCCAAACTTGCAGCTGTCAATCCATTCCATCTCTGCACTGCTAAAACATGACTTTCTTTTGCAACAAACTGCATATTTTATTTTGTTTGCACATATAAACTGGAATCACATCAGCAAGAAATATGTAAGACTCGTAAGTTAACAGAGAAACTTCTGTCCTCATAAAATTAAAATATGTAAAGACAGGTCTTCACTTTGAGCTCAGCTTCTGTGAAATCACAGAGTGACAGGGGTTGGAAGGGACTCCTGAAGATCAACCCTCCTACTAGAGGAGGATCACCTAGAGTAGATCACACAAGAACACGTCCAGGTGGGTTTTGAGTGTCCTGCTGCCCACTCCCAGGTCCTTTTCCCCAGAGCTGCTCTCCAGCAGGCCAAGCCCCCAACCTCTACTGCTATATGGGGCTGTTCTTTCCCAGATGCCACACTTGCCCTTATCAAATTTCATTGGTTTGTCCCTGCCCAGCTTTCCAGCCTGAAGTCATACAGAAATGCAGCTTGATGACCTCACATCATTCCTAAACAGAAAATTACCCACACGGTGTTTGTTGAGTATTCATACCACCATGGATGGCAGAGCTGATACCCTGCACATGTAAAGCAAAACAGCCCCATCGAGTTCCCCTTGCTCGAGTGCTTTGCTAACCAGAGCAAATTCTTCCTTCTAGTAAAGGAGACCCAAGACTGTAGCAGTTCTCTGAAAGTCACGTTCTGAATTTCTTTCATCCAGGACAACTCTGGTAAATATTCATAAAGCTTGAGTCACTTAAAAAAACCTGTTGCTGTTTGATGCATTATTCAATCAGCAGCATTTAATCTCCAGACAAGTTTGCTCTTTACTCACCTTCTTCTACTTAGTATTTGCATTTTTGTTCAGAACAGGACACAATACTAAGCTTAAATACATATTTATTTTTATCCGTTATGATGTCAGTAAATGCTGAGAACGTGTCAATCCACACACTCATATGTGAAACCACAAAGCACTCATATGTGAAGGTTTTATACATAAGGTTTTTCTCACAGAGTGTCCAGCTTTTATTTTCCTGAAACCACAAGGCACTCATATGTGAAGGTTTTATACATAAGATTTTTCTCACAGAGTGTCCAGCTTTTATTTTCATAAGAAAGACTGAAGCAAATATACTGAATCTTTCAGAGTTGCTTTTTTTCCCATCTATATTTAGGCAGCAGTTAGCACATTCAGACTGCTGAGTAAAAGGAACCAAGAGCAAGTTATCAGTCACTATTACTACAGTTGTGATCCTGCATAGGACTTGCATTAGATCATGAGCGTTGGCACAAACAAGGCTTTGTGTTTAGCGCAGCTACTACAGGATGTGGTATCTCCTACCACTTGACCATATCTGAAAAAGAACTAACACTTCTAAAGTCTCCACACCCTACTGGCACAAGTTAGGGAGGTTTCACCGGCTGCAGCTGAGGCTCTGTTGATTGTTTGCAGATGCAGTGTGATTCCAGGCTAGCGGAGTATTGGAAAACTTAATTATTTTCTTCCTATAAAAGATGTAAATGATACCTCTATACAATGAAGCTGTACATTTTGTAATACAAGGCTTTTGCACGCCTGCAGAAACTGGTTTCCATTTGGTTAAGAGCACCTACCCACTTGCTATGTAAAATTTTGACACGTGCTATGTTGCACAGTTCTATTCTTCTAGAGTCTCCATGTAAATCTTTGATTACATACCGACGTGGCACATTGTAAATGCTAACCTCTTTGTGAGACCGGCAACAAGCGCTGTGGCTTTCAGAATTTAAAGCACTGAGCATTGCCTTAATAGCTGTGTCAACCCTGAAGCACAAAGCAGCAGCATAATGAGTCCTAACAACATTCATGTTTTCCCTTAGTTCTACAAAGCTCACAAGTGATGACTGGAAAGTTCCCTTAGTGCAGCTAATCCAGATCTTTGGCTAGGAGAGATGCGCTCCTGCCCACAGGCCTTCCCTGCTGCATGCTTGGCAGCTTTCACCAGCACTCCTTGGACTGCTTCCTTTTCCTCTCTCCCTGAGATCAGCATTTAAGGCTTCAAATCCCTGTGAGCCCTGGCTTTCAGCCTTTGGAAGACAAGGCTGCATCAACGCAGGAAGAGCCAAACCAGCCCTCTCTGCATCATTTTCTCTGTTCCTACCTCAAAGCTGTTGATTATGTCTCTTGTTACTGACACAGCTTAGTTCTCTGAATGATAATCCCATGACTGACCTTATACATTACGTACAACCTTCTCTGCCTCTTCCTGCAGAAGAAATCCACAGAAGTTCCAACAGTATCCCAGCTATAAATAAGAAGAAAACGACCAGCTACCAAAAAAGTAAAGTGAAACTGGACTGCAGAAAGCACTGCTGGTAGTCAGTGGTGGAGGTCCTGCAGCATCTGCCATTACAACACTGGAGAATTCAGACAACTACATAGATAGTTTCCACAGTGCTCTAACAGTCACTGAATTTCGCTGTATAATGAGATATGTGCAAGTGAACAGTTAGATAAGTTTCTGTGAATTCTCCCAGTAATCTTGTAATCTTTTGACCTGCAGTGAGTTGCACCGCTCACTCAAGCCAGGACAATTGCTGATATATGAGCGCACAGATACGAACAGATCTCCATCGGAGACAAGGCTTAAAAGCAACGACAGCATTTCCATCAATGTTGATGCCAAAAGTCCTAAATTACAAAAAGTAATTGGTAACAGCACATCTGCACTGACCAAGTGGAAGGCCTTGATATTCTGGTTTTCCTCATTTGGGCAAACTTGAGTCTCAACACTGCCATACACAAGCGCTTCGTGTGCCATCTGTAATGCCTTTGTTTCCCTCCCCCAGAGAACAGACACTCCTACTCCCTTTATCCCAGACAGTAAGGAACAGCCTGGTATCCCACTCAGTAACTTCTGCCTTCGAACAATGCTGAGACAAGCAATAATAAACTAGCAGGTGATGATGATAAAGGCACGAACCGTGCAACCATGTTGGAGGTAAGCTGGACCTTCTACCCCTCTCAGCATGGTACCTGCAAGGTTATAGGTGCCACCCTGCTGTTACGGGACTGACTGTGATAATGTCTTTGGTAAT